TCCTACCTTAGCCTTCTGAGTAGCTGGAATTATAAGCGCCTGCCACAATGCCCTGCCTACACATTGAAATTATAATAAAACCTGGCTGATAATTAGTAGAAACTTGAAAGCAGCGAGGGGCGGAGTGGGTGTGATGGTTAATTTAAGTTGTCAACTCGTAAATTAAATACCTAGAAACATGGTAAAGCATTATTTTTGGTGTGTCTGTGAAAATGTTTCCAGAAACACTGGCATGTGAGTCTGAATGGATCAGGTGGGGAAGACCTACCCTCAGTGTGTATAGCACCATCCAATCTGACACAGGCCCAGAGAGAACAGAACAGAGAAGAGGTATGTTGATCTTTCTGAGGGAGCTGAAACGCACTGCTCCCTCCTCTCACAGGAGCTTGGGCATCCCAGCTTCTGGACTCTAAGACTTACACCAGGAGCTCCCAGGTTGTCAGGCCTTTCAGCCTTTGCCTGAAAGTTATACCATCAGTTAACCTGGTGAGAGAATTACAAATCATTGAAAAAAGAGTAGAGGTTTTTTTTTTTTTTGGAGACAGAGTCTTAAGCTGTTGCCCTGGGTAAAGTGATATGGTGTCATAGCTCAAAGTAACCTCCAACTTTTGGGCTCAAGTGATCCTCTTGCCTCAGTTTTTCTATTTCTTTTTAGTAGAGACAGGGTCTTGCTTTTGCTCAGGCTACTCTTGAACCTGTGAGCTCAAGCAATCCACCACCTTGGCCTCCCAGAGTGCTGGGATCACAAGTGTGAGCCACCACCTGCAAGGAGCAGAGGATGTTAACAGATGGAAGTACGCATCATGCTCACGGCCTGGGTGAATCAGTATTATTAAAATGTCTACCCTACCCAAAGCAATCTACAGATTTAATGCAAACCCCATTAAAATACCAATGTCTTACTTTAAGGATTTTTTTTTTTTAAATTGAGACAGAGTCTCACTTTGTCACCCGTGGTAGAGTACCATGGCATCATAGCTCAAAGCAACCTCAAACTCTGGGGCTCAAGCTATTCTCTTGCCTTAGCTTCCCAAGTAGCTGGGACTATAGGCACCTGCCACAACACCTGGCTATTTTTTTTTTTTTTTAACTTAGCAGACCAGGGCTGGGTTTGAACCCACCAGCCCCGAGCATGTGGCCAGTGCCCTAACCACTGAGCTATGGGTGCCCAGCCTACTTTGAGGATTCTGAAAAAATAATTCTTTCTTTTTTTTGAGACAGAGCCTCAAGCTGTCCCCCTGGGTAGAGTGCTGTGGCATCAAAGCTCACAACAACCTCCAACTCCTGGGCTCAAGCAAGTCTCCTGCCTCTGCCTCCCAAGTAGCTGGGACCACAGGCACCCACCACAATGCCTGGCTATTTTTTGGTTGCAGCCGTCATTGTTGTTTGGTGGGCCCAGGCTGGATTCAAACCTGCCACCTTGGGTGTATGTGGCTGGTGCCTTAGCCACTTGAGCCACAGGCGCTGAGCTTGAAAAAATAATTCTATGTTTTATATGGAACCAGAAAAAAAAACCTGAATAGCCAATGCAATTCTACAAAATAAGGATAAATCTGGAGGCCATCACCTTGCCAGATTGGAGGTTATATTAAGAGTCTATAGTGATCAAAACAGCATAAAAATAGACTAGAGCTCTAGAACAGAATAAAGAATCCAGAGATGAAACCAGCTTCATATCGCCATCTGTTCTTTGACAAAGCAAATAAAACATTTATTGGGGAAAAATATCCCTCTTTAATAAATGGTGCTGGTAGAACTCAAACTGTAAGAGACTGAAACTGGACCCACACCTCTCACCAATCACAAAAGTTAACTTATGATGGATAAAAGATCTAAGTAGAAGCCATGAAACCTTAAAAACCCTAGAAGAAAAGTGGGAAACTCTTAATCAGCCTAGGGAAAGAATTTATGAAGAAGATCTCACTGGGAATTGCAGTGGCCACAAAAATAAATAAATGGGACTCAATCAAGTTTAAAACTGCACAGCTAAGGACACAATCCACAAAACAAAAAAACAACCTTCAGCATTGGAAAGACATTTGCCTGCTATGAATCTGACAAAGGGCTCATCACCAGAATGTACAATGAACTCAAGTATATCAACAAGAAAAGAGCAAACAACCCCAAAACAGCCCTATTAGAAACTGGGCAAGAGACAAGAATATAAACTTTTCTCATGAGAACAGAAGAATGGCCAACAAATACATGAAAAAATGCTCATCGTCCCTAATTATCACAGAAATGCAAATCAGAACCACTCTGAGATATCACCTACCCCCAGTGAGAATGGCCCACATCATAAGGTCCCAAAGCTGCAGATGTTTGTGTAGGTGTGGAGAGAGGGCAACACTCATGCACACTGGTAGGACTGCAAACTAGCACAGTCTCTGTGGAAAGAAGTATGGAGAATCCTGAAAGAACTAAAAGTACAC